GGTGGCTTTGGAGGGGCTGGTGGCTTTGGGGGGGCTGGTGGTTTTGGAGGGGCTGGTGGTTTTGGAGGGGCTGGTGGCTTTGGAGGGGCTGGTGGTTTTGGTGGCCCTGGTGGCTTTGGTGGCCATGGTGGCTTTGGTGGCCCTGGTGGCTTTGGTGGCCCTGGTGGATTCCCTGGGGGAATCCAAGAAGTGACAGTCAACCAGAGCCTCCTGCAGCCCCTCAACATGGAGATTGACCCCCAAATCGGACAAGTAAAGACTCAGGAGCGGGAACAGATCAAGACCCTCAACAACAAGTTCGCCTCCTTCATTGACAAGGTGATGAAGCTCGGACTGGCCCCCCATTCCTAGGCTGGGACATTGGGCTTGATAGTTAGAGATCATGTTAAGGGTCAACCTGGGACAGCCCAGGCGGGAGGCGGAGGGACGAGGCAGCGCCCAAGGGTGTGTGACGACGTCCAGGACGACAAGGTCGTCCACGTGGTCATGTGAGTGGGAAAGACAGTGGTCCCTAGGTGGACTTGGGTGCCCCGAGTCCTGCTTGTCTGGCTCTGCTCAGGTCTCCCGCCTGTGGCCCGGCCAGCTCCGGCTGGCAGAGTCGACAGCCCGTGAACACAGGCAGGGAGACCTTTGACCCAGACCTGGGGATGGTCAAATATGAGCTGCTTCTGAGGGCTCGCAAGGGTCAGCCCCTTCCATGTGGCCCGGTCAGCAAGGGAGACACCAGGGACTGAGGAGGTTGCAGGTCCCCTTGTCTCGGGGGCTCTCGAGAAGCTGGTAGTTTAGTCTGAATTAGTCAGAAAGAGAAGGCCGGGAGAGTCACGCCGGCTGGCTCTTGGCTGCCACATCAAGGTCGCTGCTGAGTACCGGTCCTGGCGATTCTCGCCTCTGCAGGGCGGTGTGTAACGGGCCGGCTCCTCCCATCTGCTGTGCCAAGGGCTGGGAGCCAAGTAGCGCTGTGAAGTCCCCTGGCCCCTGAGCCTGGGGTGCGGGGGTGATGCCAGGCCCCCGCTCCTGCTGGGAGTGTTGCTTGACGTGCGACCCCCCACCCCCACCCCCGCCTCCAGGTGCGGTTCCTGGAGCAGCAGAACAAGGTCCTGGAGACCAAGTGGAGCCTGCTGCAGCAGCAGGGCACCAACTCCACCACGGGCACCAACAACCTGGAGCCCTTTTTCGAGAACTACATCAACTCCCAGAAGAGCTACCTCGACAGCATCGTGGGGGAGCGGGGCCGCCTGGACTCAGAGCTGAGGAACATGCAGGACATGGTGGAGGACTTCAAGAGGAAGTGAGTGACGGGGCAGCCGTGGGGAGATGCCAGGGCCCCAGCCTGGCCCCCAGCTTCCTGCACCCTCCTGCACCCTCCTGCACCCTCCTGCACCCTCCTGCCCGTGGACAGTGGTGCCCCTGAGCCCACCGCACTCTGGGGGGCGGCCGAGCTCCTTCGGTTTCCTTGGCTCCCTTCTTCAAGGCTAGCCCTTTGCCGGGACAGCGGCGGGGAGGAGGGCTTGGCGTGAGGGAGCACTGTCTCAGGACCGGGCTGGGGGGATCCTGGATCTGCAAGACGACGGGATGGCCCAGGGGGTGGTGGCCAGGGTGCAGGACCTATTGAAGCCGGGGGAGTCTCTCTGGTATCCTGACCACTCTGGGCCACAGTAGAAGGGCACACTCGGCTGGGGGTGGGAGGCAGAGGGTGGGAGAGGCGAATTTTCTGAATCTCAGAGAACGTGGTATTCACGATAATCCCCAAGCCCCGCTCGGTCATTTCCTTTTAATCCTTACAGATACGAGGAGGAAATCAACAGACGTACAACCGCTGAGAATGAATTTGTGACCCTGAAGAAGGTGAGGGTGCAAGAGGGCAGAGCTCTGGGGCAGGTGGGCAAGGCTTCTGGCGGGCTTGGGCAAGCTCCTGCCCCCCGGCACGGACCGCCAGGGCCAGGCCCTCGGAGCCAGGAAACAGAAGCCTGGAGCCTCTCAGTCTGGAAGGGTCCCCAGGACAGTCACTCTGTCTGACTCTTGATGAATGTCGGGGCTCTAGCCTCGGCTAAGAAGCTGTCACCCCAGTCTGGCCTCCCCACACAGTTAGATGTTCGCTTCTCGGGGCCGGGCCTTTATGTGTCTGTCCTCCCCAGGACGTGGACGCGGCCTACATGAACAAGGTGGAGCTGCAGGCCAAGGTGGACGCCATAATGGACGAGATCAACTTCCTGAGGATGCTCTATGACTTAGTGAGGATGTTTCCTGCAGAGAGGGGAGAGAGGGCGGGGGAGATGGTTTCAGACTGGGAGCTGGGGGCTTTGGCATCCAGGGCCCAGGCAGACTGCACCCAGAGGCCAGGTCCCTTGGGGGGCTTCTGCAACAGGGGGCGTAGCCATGGGACTCTCTGAGGGGTGGGGGCAGGCACTATGGGGTGACGGCCCCTTCAGAGCTGAGCAGTGCATGGGACTGTCGGCAGGAGGCTCCCTGGGCCACTGTGCTGCAGAGGCCCGAGGGGAAACAGGCCCCGTGTCCCTGCAGGAGCTGTCCCAGATGCAGTCCCACACCAGCGACACGTCCGTGGTCCTGTCCATGGACAACAACCGCTTCCTGGACCTGGACAGCATCATCGCCGAGGTCCGCGCCCAGTACGAGGAGATCGCAGAGAGGAGCAAGGCCGAGGCCGAGGCCCTGTACCACAGCAAGGTAGGAGCACCCCGCCCCCAAACTAGTTTTGGGTCCCCCTGAGCTTCACCAAGGATGTCCCCACCCTTGCCGAAGCCACGCTGATCGGTTTCTCCTGGGTCAGCTGGGAGAGCTGCAGAACACGGCCGGCAGGCATGGAGATGACCTGAAGAGCACCAAGTCCGAGATCATGGAGCTCAACAGGATGATCCAGAGGCTGCGGGCCGAGATCGAGAGCGTCAAGAAGCAGGTGGGCTGGCTGGGCTGCTGTTCCTGGTCTGGCCGTGAGGGTGGGGGCGGGCGGCTCAGAACCCCCCACCTGGAACGGACTTCGGGGACGGCCCCGGGCAGCCTTGACCTGCAGGGAGTCCAAAGGCCAGGGCAGCCTACATGGGGCTCACTCATGGGGCAAAGAGCTCTGGGTGGACACAGGCCAGGGGGCCCAGCGAAGGCGGGGTGCTGCCTGACCTCACCATCCTAATGGATATGGTCCCTCCCCCGCCCCAGAATGTCAACCTGCAGGCGGCTGTTGCTGACGCCGAGCAGCGCGGGGAGCTGGCCCTCAAGGACGCCAACGCCAAGCTCCAGGAGCTTCAGGTTGTCCTGCAGAAGACCAAGGACGACCTGGCCCGGCTGCTGCGCGACTACCAGGAGCTGATGAACGTGAAGCTGGCCCTGGACGTGGAGATCGCCACCTACAGGAAGCTGCTGGAGGGCGAGGAGTGCAGGTGGGCTTTCCACTAGGGCTCCCATGCCCCTGCCTCAGATCAGGGGCTGAGGGCAGAGGTGAGGCAGTAAATGGAGAGGAGGCCTGGGTGCAGAGGGAGGTCCCGCCTCTCAGCACGCAGGGGCCCTGCTTTCACCTGCCCACTCCCTGGGGGAGGGGGAGGGCACAGGTCTCTTAAAGACCAGGGTGGGGGGGGGGAGAGTGGGCGTTGCCAGGCTTCCCTGCTGGCTGCCATTGAGCATGAGCTTTATGGGGGACTCCCTGGGTTTGCTTTGTGGCCACGGAGCTCTCTCTTTTCCCACCCAGGATGTCCGGGGAGTGCCAGAGCGCCGTCAGCATCTGTAAGTAGCGGGAGCAACCGCGATGGGGAGGGGGGCTGGTTCTCAAATGCCTGTGCTGACACCGCACTGTAACTGAACCGATTTCTGCGGGAGGCTGGGCGTCCAGGGGCTGGCAGGCAGCCAGAGACTGGCGCTTGGGAAGGTTCTGGGGGCGCTGTTGCGGGCCCTCCCCGTGGGTGGGGCGCATCTGACCTGGAGCCTGCTAACGGGAGGGGCCTGCAGGCCGGGCGACCTCCAGGGGTCACTGGCCTGGAACCGCTGGCTAAC